AGGTGGAGAGAAATAAGATGAAGAAATTTATTTTCTGAGTATCCATTAAGAGGAGCTTTTTGTTCAGCATGCTATTTGATAAATATTTAATTGGATTTAGCTATTTTTAGTGATATTTCAATGAAGAATGCATTCAAAGAACCTTTTCACAAAAGATAAACACAGAAACTAGTCTGGTTCTCTGCCTCATCTTTTAACTGTTCACTCTACACAGCTGAGCTCAAATGACTATCTGTAATACAAATCAGAGTTCTTCTAAGGAAGAAAATGTTATCTGATTTTTAAAAAAATTTTAGTTGTATATGGACTCAATGACTTTACTTGTTTTTATGTGGTGCTAGTATCAAACTCAGTACCTCACACTTGTGAGGCAAGTACTCTACCATTGAGCTACAATTCAAGCTGCTGATTTTTCATACTAGTTCTAGTTAGCTTTATTTGTGATAGTGAGTAAAATAACTTCAATTATATAACTTGCTGAGATCAAGCATATGTATTATTTTTACATAACTTTTTATTATTTCATTTTGTTTTTATATAACTATTTGTTAGTTTTAGATTTGAAAATCATAGGAATATCAATGAAGATAATCATGATAAATAATATAACAAATAAGAAATAGATTAAAATAATACAAATAGGTTGTGTGTACATTCATCCAAAACTTAACCATTGAGATATATTCTGAGAAATGTATCATGTTATATTTTCATGTTATATTTTATGTTATAATAATACATGCTATATTTTCATCGTGTACACATCATAGAGTGTACTTACACAAAACTAGACAATGCAGCTTACTATATTACTGGTTATATGGGGTCTATTGTTTCCATGTTACAAACCTATATGCATGTTAACTGTACTGAATACTGTAAGCAATTATAACACAGTGGTAAACATTTTTGTATCTAAACATAAATGAGCATAGAAAAGTACATTAAAAATAAGGTATAAAAGATTTTAAAGTGGTACACTAATATAGAGTCCTTACCATGAATGGATCCTGCAGTATAGGATGTTATTCTGGGTAAGTCAGAAAGTGAATGATGAATGAATGTAAAGACTGAGGACATTACTGTGCACTAGTGCAGACTTTTTTAAAAGGTGGTAACTTTTTATAAAGCTTTATTTTATTCATTTATGTTTTATGTGATGCTGAGAATTGAACCCAGTGCTTCAATGTGCTGGACAAACACACTGTACCACTGAGCCAGAACCCAACCCTCGTGAAAACTTTTTAAGTACTGTGCACTCAGGTTACACTAAATGTTTAAATTTGTTTTCTTTTTTCAATAATAAGTTAACCTTAGCATAACATAACTTTTTTTCTAACTTTATAAGCTTAGTTTTTTTTAAATTTGACTCTTTTAAAATACTTCCCTTATAACATGCTCATTGCACAGATATACAAGCATATTTTTTTCTTGGTATTCTTAGTCTATGACATTTATTTAATTGTTTGTTTGCAAAAGTTTTTGTTAAAAAACTCAGAAACACACATTAGCGTAGGCCTCCTCAGTGTCAGTATTATCAATATTACTGTCTTTCATTTCCACATCCTGTTCCATTGGAATGTAATTGTATGTGTTCTATTTTGATAAGAATGGCAGTAAAGTAGATATACTTACACAAGAATCACCATGGGCATGTGAGGAATGCATTTCACAAGATCTCTGGGACATCACTAGGCAATGAAAGTCTTCTGGTTCCATTAGGATCTTGAAGGAACACCATGGTGTGTAAAGTCCATCCTCGACTGAAACACTGTTAGGGAGTGCCTGACTGTACACATCAACATTTAATCAACTTTTAATGAGACTTAAGGCATATATTTCCATATTACTGCTTTTTGGTAGAAAAAAATATCATAGAGGAAAATATTACAAGAGAATGTTTTTCTAATTATTAATGTATGAAAGTTTACTCATGGAAGATTAATGATGTCTTTGGTAACCTGATAAAATTAATTAATTATTAATTTGCTTTGTGTTTTATTGTGGGTGAAATATTTGTAATATATGTATGGATGAAAGAAAAAGAGGACAGGAAAAGAGAGGACAGAGAACAAGAAATCTTTAAATGAACACTTTTTGTAAGTTTATGATCTCATCTGTAACCCAGAATCATGCTATGATAGGATTGGTTTCTGCCTCTTGCTTACTCTCCTGGTGGATGATAGAAATTGTAAATGTATTCAGAGTCCTGTAGAAACTATTTCTTTTCTTGATCAGGTCCTTTTTGTTTTTTTCTTGGGCTCTATCTTCAATTTAATATATTCTATTCAATTGTCTTCTAAATAAATATTAACCTCTGAGAGAAAGATTAGACTATACATCAAAATGACAGAAAAGAGATGGATTGCAAATGAAAATATTTCGTTTTCTCAGGTTAGTTTTCAGATGCTTTGTAGCAGTAGTGCAAATAGGAATTGCATTCAACATTGTCCCACTGCAAAGATACATGATCTTAACTCTTGCCCTCCAATACCAGATGACATTCTCTATGCATTCATTTCCTGAGTGTCTAGTAAGTGCCAGGCTATCTGATAGGTCCAGAAGATATAATGTTGAAAAAAAATAGAATTTCTGTATTCATAAAATTTGAAGAAGACATATACATAATATAGTAAAGATAAACATTGTTAAAATAATTATATTAATGAGGTGTAGTAAATGCTCTCAAATGAATGAAAATTGCTTTAAGGAATGAATAGTAACTCAGTCCTGGTGTTATGAAAAGAATTCCAGAGGGAGTTGTTTGCTTTGTGAGGCTTTCGAATAATAAACAGGAAAAGAAAGATATATTCCAAGAGAAGTAAATAGCTTATAAAAGCCTTATAACAGAAATAGCCAGAATGACTTCAAAAAACTGAGTAGAGGATATTGTGATCAGGAAATATATTGAGAGAGCGAGAAAGATACACATGGAGAGAGCCCAAACTGTGGGGGAAAGATCAGGTCCATTATTTATTTATTTATTTCATCTTAAGAATATATGGGATCCCAGTGACATTTTTCATAAAAATAGAAAAAAATCACTAAATTTATTTGGAAAAATAAGAAACCTAGAAGAGCCAAAGCAATCCTTAGCAAGAAAAGTAAAGCAGGAGTTATCAGAATACCAGACCTTAAACTATACTACAGAGCTATAGTAACAAAAATGGCGTGGTACTGGCACCAAAATAGACTTGTAAACCAATGGTTCAAAGTAGAGGACACAGAAGAGAGAAACCCATATAAATATGGTTATGTTATATTAGACAATGTTGCCAAAAACTTTCACTGCAGAAAAGATAGCCTGTTCCACAGATGGTGCTAGCAGAACTGGAAATCCATATGTAGCAAAATGAAATTAAATCTCTATCTCTCACCCTGCACAAAATTCAACTTAAAGTGGATAAAATAGGATAAAATACTTAGGCACTAGAACAGACACCCTGCACCTAATAGAAGAAAAAATAGGCTCAAATCTTCACCTTGTTGGCCTAGGATCTGACTTCCATAACAGGACTCCTAAAGCTCAAGAAATCAAATCAAAAATCAATAAATGGATGAATTAAAATTAAAAAGCTACTTCTCAACAAAAGAAACAATCAATAATGTGAGGAGAGAGCCTAAAAATTGGGAGAAAAATCTTTATCACATACACCTCCGATAAAGCATCAATCTCCAGGTCATATACATATAAAGAACTCAAAAAACCTAACACCAAAAAAACCAAATAACCCAATCAATAAATGGGCTAAGGAAAGGAGCAGAAACTTCACAGAAGAAGAAATATAATCAATCAACAAATATATGAAAAAGCGTTCAACATCACTAGCAATTAAAGAAATGCAAATCAAAACTAAGATTTGTCCAAATGGCAAAGATCAAGAATACAAGAAACAATAAGTTTTGGTGAGGATGTGGGGAAAAAGGCACAATCATACATTGTTTGTGGGACTGCAAATTGGTGAAACCACTATGGAAAGCAGTATGGAGATTCCTTGGAAAACCTAGAATGGAACCACCATTTGACCCAGCTATCACATTCCTTGGTTTATACCCAAAGGACTTAAAATCAGTATATTACAGTAATGCATCCATATCAATGTTTATAGTGGCTCAATTCACAATAGCTAAACTATGGAACCAACTCAGATGTCCCTCAATAGATGAATGGATAAATAAAATGTGGTATATATATACTCAATGGAATATTACTCAGCTTTAAAGAAGAATGAAAATATGACATTTGCCATTAAATGAATGGAATTGGAAAATATTGTGCTAAGCAAAATAAGCCAATGCAAAAAAATCAAAGGCCAAATGTTTTATTCAATATGTGAAGGCTAATTCACAATAGAGAGGGGGAACTAGAGAAGAATAGTCTTACCTTAGATTAGGTAGAGGGAGTTGATGAGAGTGAAGGGGAGGGGATATGGGGGTAGTAGAGATAGTAGAATGAAACATATATATATGTGACTACATGACCAACATGATTTTGCAACATGTACACTCAGAAAAATGAGAAGTTATATCCCATGTATGTATAATATATCAAAGTGCATACATTCTATTTTCATGTATAACTAACTAGAACAAATTAAAAATTTAAAAAATATGGGAATGTGCTGTTTATTCATGGTCACTTTTGTGGGGGATGTATTTAAGATACCAGAGTGCATATGGAGTGCTAATAAGTGTACGGTTGGAAAGTTTAGGTGAGACGTGCCCAGATGTCTTAACCTATAATACATTTGGGAGGGACTAAAGATGGGAGATATGTTTAGAAAGGACATCTAACAGAACTCAGTGATAATTTTAATATGAAGAATAAGGGAGGGGCAGGGGATGTGGCTCAAGCGGTAGCGCGCTCGTCTGGTGTGCGTGCGGCCCGGGTTCGATCCTCAGCACCACATACCAACAACGATGTTGTGTCCGCCAATAACTAAAAAATAAATATTAAAACATTCTCTCTCTTTCTCCCTCTATCACTCTCTCTTAAAAAAAAAAAAAGAATAAGGGAGAGGAAAAAGTCCAAGATGACCCCTCCTTTTTTCCTGACTTGGGTAAGTAGATGAATGACAATTTGGGGTGCACGACTTCATGTGAGGGTGTGCATACAATGAGGAGTTGTTTTCAAACATAATACTTAACTTTTGAACAGACTACTTATGCCCATCTAGAGATTGAACAAGAAGCTATATATACAATTAAAACCATAGACTATGTTGAGATAACCTATGCTGAGAGAATGGAGTAGCAGTGAGTGATTGGCAGTGAGATTTGGTAAACCACAATACTTAATGAAACAAGAAAGAAGAAGGATAGAACAGCAGAAGGACAGAAGGAGTTTCATGAAATCTACAGAAACACAAAGGATCAAAGGCTAACGGGTGTCTAATAAGAAAGGGATTAAGAATGTCCACGAGTTTCTGTAATATTAATGGTATTGGTTATCTATGTGAGAATTAAAAGGTAAATTTATGAAGTTATGGGAGCAGAAGCAAAACTGAATTGGACTAAGTGAAGAAAATAAGAATAATACTTACATGGCTTTCAGAACTCTTGGAAAGAGGAGAGAAATAATCTTGAATGATTTCAGTATGTTTAAAAGTAGAAGAAAATAATTGAGACAGAGTTTAGGAAACAGTTAAGAGCAGTATTAGTCAATTGGTTTAGTTTCTCAAGAAGTTAGTCTTATACCATGACTTAGGTAGAAAAAAAGAAGAAGAAGAACTTGTCTACTGTCCTCACAGGAAACTAGGTATCTTGATGAAAAGTGGTAAAGTAGAAGACAATTGAACTCAGAGCATAAACTTGGGGGTTTTGAAAAGGGCTTGGTATTTGGATGATAAGATTATATCATTTTACAACTCTTCTGAAAAATATGATTTTTAGTTTAAAGCATTTGTAGAGGGATATTTTAAGAAATTTCCTTTTAAATACTACTAGGAAAAATTCAAATTCATCAATAACTAAATATAACCAGTATAAAAATTCTGTTGTACTAAGTTTATTTATTAAGTACCTATCATAGCAGTCTAACTTATTAACTTTCAGTATTTATCTGTAAATTCTAATAACTAAAACTTTTTGAGATCTATTCATCAAATACATTCAAAGAGGAGATTAAGATTTATAAGTACCATTGATGATTGTATTAGTATTAAAGATACTTGGAAAATTAATCATAGCTTAATGTCTTTTTCTTTTTCTTACAATTGTTTATTAACAGTGGATTTTTATCAGGTACTGTATTTCTTCTTATTTCATGTTCCGTAAGGCTTCGTGAAAACATAAACAGCACTTGTTGTTATCAAAGATATAACCTTATAGAGATGCTTATCTATTATGAATTCAGCTGGTAACTTCCAGAAAGTTTTGATTAGATCTATGGAGATTTCTACATTATACTGAATATTTCTTAATATACTTCTTCACTATATAATAAATTTTCTCTGATTATTGCAATTCTAATTTTGACAGGTGAAAGTCAATAAGGATGTTTAAGCACTGGTCAGCTGTTTTTGTTCTTGGATGCATTTTTCTGGAGTCAGAAGGAAGACCAACAAAAGAAGCAGGATATGGCCTTAAATCCTATCAACCTTTAATAAGATTGCGACATAAGGTACTGTCAACATTCTGAATCAACTTGTTGTGCTTACCAATTATGAGCTAAGTTATTAGTTGTTAGGTTTAATTTTCATTTAGGACCATTTATTTCAGAAATTTACCATTGGGGAATTAAGTACTTCTTCTCTCTCT